TTATATACTGAATAAAAAGGCTAAAATTCCACAGTCAGGGACATTCAAGTTAATGAGGTTTCACTGTATAAAAATTCCACATGATCACAAAAAAATAGTGAAGAATGGTTCTCAAATCATATTTGTGCCAAATGTCACAAAAATGCTATTTTTATCTTAAAAGGAATGGCATTACTGCACCACTGCGAATCTTACAAAATTCCAAGGTAAAAAGCAAGGTTATTTGAATTTTGTTATTTGAATATTCCAGTGCACAAAGGGAAAGCAAGAAATGCAAATGAAATGCTATGAACCTGTACAGACCATTTCTGCTACGTGGGCAATCAAGTTCTTCGGTAGAAAACTTTAAGTCACCAACCATTTGTAATTCTACCCTCACAGAATTTATCCAGGGTACAATTTTAAGTCATGGTTTTCCACAAGTCTCTGGCCAAAGAGCAATACTTACTTGCCAAGAACTTTAAAATTTGTTACAATTTAGTAAGCCTTCTGGTAAAGCCACACAAAATGAAAAAACAAAAAGCTCAGAATCCAAGATGCAACTCACCAATAAATGGGTTTAAATGAACATAGGCCCACACAGTTTATCATATTTTGTCTGACAGACTCAGACTGTCTCAGTACTCAACAGGAGAGGTATTAAAGTTCATGGTTTATCGTGTTAAAGCTTTGTGATGTAACTATTTTCAGAAACATCACTAGTCAAATCCAATTTAGTTTTTAAATTCTGGGCTCTTAAAAAAGCAGTTAATACAAAGAGGAGAGCTACAATACTTAAAATTTTTAAATGCCTATAAAGGTGAATGCTAAGAAATACCTAATGTGCTGTCATAATTAGAAAACAACATTATACACAAAGTTTGATCATCAATACTACATTGTATTTTGGAGAATATATGAAAGACTAAAAATAGGTGAAATGATGGGTAGTACTTGAAAACAATCAAAAAGCCTATTAATGAGTACTTTTCTTCCCCCAGGTTAATCTACAGAAAGGTAATTTTAATAGCAGTAACACTACAAAAAACTGGCATGTATCATGATGTCTATAATACAGACATCAGCTAGTCTAAATGTTTGGATGCCAATGCTATTTTGTGAGAAATTATCCAAACAAGATTTAAGTGGTGTGCAAGACTAACAAAGAATTACTTATCAGATTAATAACCAAACCACAGGGCTTTATAATAAGGATCATTGAATGTATCTTATAAGTACTTAAACTTTATTTCTTTGGGATAATATCACTTGCTTATTCTAATAAAAAGTAATTTTTTTTCTTTGAAGTTCTAGTTTAAAATAACTTGGTAGTATAAAATACATTACAGAAAATGTCAACATTTGAGCATAAAATACTAAAAGAGAAACTAGCCTTTGTGTTCACACTAATTTAGACTAAAACTGAAACAAAGCTATCTGAATGACCTAATTCCATCTATAAGAAAAATTTTTAAATCAACTTTGGCATCTGTAATGCCAATAAAACAAAATATCACAATGTGATTAAACAAAAATGACCCATGGAATTTCTTCCTTTCACCATTCCTGCCCCCTGTCCCACTCCCATTCCAGTATTCTTGAGAAGTTTTTTCTACCAAATTTTAACAACTGGCGTCTAGTTGTTTGAGAAAAGCCTCACTCACCTAGACAATTCAAACTCATAAAACTGAGTTTAATTGTATAGCAAATACCACTGCCCCACCTATAAACCACACACATGGAAAAAACATGTAAGAATATCAACTTACCTTTAAGTTTTTAGTCGAGCTCTTGAAAGAATAATTTACTAAGAAAATTAAAGAACAGTCTAACAAAACAAATTCACATATTTCTGTATCACAGAAAAATATATGATTCTATTTAGATTATGCCTCGTATTGTGGTGAATTCATTTAGATTCTTACTTTTTATTCCTTTTTAAATAACAAAAAAAAATGTTTTTTGCCTTGCAAACACATCAGTATCCCCTATACATGTAAACTATAAAACCTACCCAAAGGAAATTTGTTAAATTAAAATGTAAAATTTGTCTTTGAACTCACAGGTTATAAACAAAGCAGTTTTTACAAGATTTTTCTGCCTTAAGGAAAATGGCTAACATTTTAAAGAACAAAGACATGAATTTCATCCCAAAACTCAACCCAATGAAATGACTCAATGAATAAAATTCAATTAAATAATAACCACCAATGAGGAAATAGCTTATATTCAATAGACAAAATACTGTTTATTTACTATTGGTGAAGAAATCTATTAGATGAGCAAGAATGTCATTACTAAGCAATGATATAAAACTATTAGGTGAAGGTGTTGTAGAAAAAGGAATTGCAATGCCAAAAGATCTCTAAGTCTAAAACAAACATGCAAAAACATACTAAGTTAAGTTTACATCTTGAGTAAAATGTACATAATTAAACATAAATAATGGTATAAATTTTTACATCTGCTAAATACACAGAATTCAACAAAATTATATCATCAAATAGTTCAACATCCTAGAGCATCATATCAATACTAAAAGTAGAATTTTCCCTATTCAACATAACCTTATAGCAATAGTATATTGCTTAAAAGAAAAACAGAAATTAGATTACCAAGATAAATTTCACCTTATATAAATTTTACTTGCTATTGTGGATAGTATTAATTGGATGCCATGAGTTTTATTATTAGCAAATTATTTCCAGTTGAACAAAAGTTATTTTCTACTAAAAAAGTACATAAGATCTAAATACAAGAGAGCAATGAAAACAATTAATATTTTTCAAACCTGCTAGCCTAAAATCACTGTACCAGCAATACTAACAATATAGAAACCTCATACTCTTACCATATTTAATTTAAAAAATGCTGAAATATTTTTAAAAATTAAAACTGATAAACCACTTTAATGTGGCTTAACAGAGATAAAAGTATTACTCTATTACTCATTTAACCATAAAAGAAACAGAGAAAACTAAAAGCAGTACTTTGGCATACCATCTCTAGTATACTCTTAGATAAAAAAAGACCTAATTTCTTGTGTTTCTCTAATACTCTATTACCAAAGCATCTGGATACAGTTCTAGAAAAAAATTCTAGGAATTCAAATGAGCAATTAATGGGAGAAATTTCTTCTAGGTCTCTTTCTTTAACAAAAACTTTCCGAGATTTCGTGTTTTTCTAAAAAGTGGTCTAAAATTTTCAAAAGTCTTGTGTTTCATCCTACATGCAAAATCTTCCAGTAGTAAAATCAAGACAAAACCTATTTTCAGTCTCACATCACAGATTAGAAAAAAAAAGGTTTTTTCCATTAATTCTAGATTATTCATATAAATGGTTTTAGATCATTGATCATAAATTATTGAAAGAAAAATTCAGATGGGAGAAAGTTACCTTTGCATTCCATCTGTAAATTCAATAACCTAATTATTGAAGTTTTTGCTGCTATCAAAGAGCTATTTCAATATTTTAAAAAATATAAAAATTTATAGCAGAGTTTTTTTTTATTCTTCAAGTTTCTTACAACAAGAATGTAGAAATCAGAAATCTAAGCTTTCAATTACACTGGCCGTCAGCATCAAAGTAGATGATTAAGATGATATGATCTTACTTAATAGTTCAATCTAATCATAAAGATATGTCAATGGTATTCAAAACAAACACAGCTTCATCTGTTCATCAGAAACACTTCCAGTCATTCACTAAAGGACTCCAACTTGGAATTGACAACTGTATATCATAATGTTGAGATAGGAATCTTGGAGAAAAGTTTCAGTCTTCTAGAGAGCCAAGGAAGTAAAAAGTACTCAAAGCCATTTTGATGAATCCAAAGAGAAGTATGATAAAGTTACTACTCTAAAGACTATCTTAACCAAATGGAACTGTTGCTTCAGTTTCTAACACTACGAAGTTATCAGACTCTGTCTCCAGTTTTGTCTTCACCTATTAATATTACCTTATTAGGGCTGAGTTTGAGAGCCAGTTAATACTTCATTCCAGGAATTCGGACAGAAAATGAGACATCTGGGGTTTTGCTCCTCCTAGATTATATGAGAAGGAAAGTATAGCTGGATGTTGTTTGCTAACTATCCATCTTGACCTTAGCAGAAGGTACAAAGCATTGGACTTGTTATTGAGATTTTTATTTTGTTGGCTGTTTTTACTTTTTTTTTTGTCCCAACTATTGGCTTTCAAATAGTCACTTTAGCTTTCATAAACAAGGTTACTCATGGAAAGGACTTCGATTTTTCCTCTAGCATCTTCAGTATGAAATTCTTTCATTTTCAGTTCCAAGAAGCTGCAATAGCAAGGCAGGTGATTTGCATGTGACAACATGCAGCTCAGAGCACGACTTAGGCAAAAGAAAAATACTGACATGTGTTTGGAGTCAATGTTGTAGACTTGAAGACAAATGCATTGATTCAGTGTTGGAAGTACACAGGCCTCTTGATATGGCTATCTGTATTCAAATTCATTTTGGTATTTGTTAGTAAGCCAAAAGCCAAGCCCAAGTCAATACACATATTATAGGTTCACTCTTCAAAGTTAAAAAAAAAAAAAGACACCATACTCAAATATTCATACTTTTGAAACTTTTGATATCTGAAACTTCAATGCTTCTTATTATTCTTGGTTAAAGCAATTTTTCCCTACTAAATACTTTTATAAAGAAAAAATCAAATATATGTAAATGATAATTCCTAGAAATTAAAAGGATGAATACTGACTGCTAAATAAATGATGTGAACTAAACTTCCAATATGAATTTTTTTCTATACCAGATATAGCACCAAAATATCATGACCTGTGTCATAATTTTGGTAATCTTCACAATTCAGAGCTGTTTAACTAACAGCTCTTCACCTAATATCAAGCAAGAAATCGTTGGCAATTAATAATTAGATCTTCCAACTCATCCCTTCCATTTTTTCACGAAAATTCCTCAAGAATTCCTAATACAGAATTGAAAGATGAAGTCTAAAATCCAATGAATTCTGATAAACTCTGTTTCTCTAAAATAAGGTTGTTTACATCAAGGCATGCATCAGCAATGGACCAAGATAAATTGGTCCAAAGGAACACCAGTCCTATCAATGCGGTCATCTAAAGAATGCAAGGATGACTTTGCAATACCAAAGTTTCCTGCTTTCTGATAACTTCTACCAATCTAAGTAGTAAGCACAAACCTATTGTACCAATATTAATTACAAATCTTATAAGAATTTTACCCTTAAAAGTAATTTCATAACACTCATAATCTGCTTCATTTAAATAAACTTAAAAAATGATTCCATAAAAACATTACTAGTCAAATCTCCCAACGGTTATTATAAAAGGTCATGCCATAAAAAATGTTGATCTAGCTGTTGTTAGATGCTGCTTAACATGATATAACCTGCATTTTAAAACTGAAACACATCATACCAATTACACAAGAGGCTATAGTATAAGAGCACTAGTTGATATGAGCATGCTGCAAAATCTGATAAATTACCCATTCTTATCTAAAAGCATTATGCTTTTATTGTTAAGTAGCAAACATTATTAAGAAAGAAAACTTTTTAATTAACATATTCATACCTTCACTCATCTGGTTCTCTGATGAAATCACACTTCCTGAGGGCAAGGGACCAACTGAACTTAAGCCTTCCACAGCTTGCCTCTTCTCAAAACTAAACTCTAGAAGTCGTGGAGCCTGGGGTCTGGTTTTTCTTGCAGGATTCAAGAAAAAACAGTAGGCACATCGAAAAGCTGCAGAGAATTTTTTAAAAATAAACAAACCATTAACCAAAGAAAACTCAAAGACTAATCAGATAACTCTCAAGATTACTTTTGCAAATAGTCACAGAACCCTTCAAAAGTTATTTAACCCTTGTGAAATTACATATAGTTTTAGTAAAATTATGGCAAGTGTTCTAATCAGGCTAAATTTTAAAGCATACTTTCTAATTATTATTAGAATATTAATTTTAAAGCGGAAAAGATAAGCTGCATAGCACATTAACTAATGGCAAAACAATATTACTAATGACCTAAATATATTACATAAATTACATTTTAGTCACCAAAATCATTAGATATTTTTAAGTCCAGAACCTCCTTCATTTTTCCCAAGAAAATGTAGTATGCCCTATTTGAAAAGCACAATTAATTTAGTACAATATTTTTTAACAGTGGCTACACATGAAAATCATCTGAGGAGCTTCAAAACAATGCTGCTGCCTGAACCTTCGCCCCAGATCAATTAAAGCAGACTCTCTGCCGATGGGCCCTGGACATCACAATTTTCAAAAGTTCTTCTGGTTATTCTGATGCACAGTGAAGTCTAAGAACAGTTGGCCTAGAGTCTGGACAATGTCTGAGGAAAAAATCTGAGTTGTCTTTCCTGCTTTGCTCTGTGTTCTAAAATATAGACAGTATGCCTGAATAATATATACAGAGAAATAAAATGGCATTACATGGGAATCAGCATAGAATGAAATATTTGAGAATAAAATATTTAAATCTAACTGCCCAATAATTCTTACCAATGTATTCAAATTCTTCTTTCAAAGCCATGCCATTATGAGAAAAACACTGCTGACATATAAGAGCATACCTACACCAAAAATAAACAGACTAGTTACAAATACAAACAAAACCCATGGGAGAGGCTACTTTAGCTACCACATCTAATTTATATTTTAACATAGCTAAATACATCATAATAGATTAGATGTTACTTAGTAAACAATAAACAATATTCTTTAAACAGCCAAAATTTCAACCATTTTAAAATATATTTATACATCAAATTAAAAATAAACCAAGAAACAGCCAAATGAATATATCCTTACTAAGTTAGCAGAAACATATCTGGTAACAGAACACTTAAATTTCAGTGCTTCCTAAAGTATATTCCTGGGGATGATAGACCCCAAATTTGTAGTCAGATAAGATTGAAAAAGATGGAACCTCTTAGAGAGTCACAATAAGAAGTCTTGTAGTAAAGAAATAAATTTAATTTTGTTTAGTTCAGTCCAAAGATTAATTTCTGTACATCGTAATTCCTGTATTTATCCCAGTTATACTTACACATCTTCCTCATTTTCTATTTATGTACTCTGTTCTCTGTGTATGTACTTAACAAATACTTGGCCCTATAAAACAATATTCTGTTTTGAATAACATACAATTTATTATATTAACTTTAAATTCTAGCCCCTTTACTAAAATGATAATATTAACCAATAACCTTGTCAAATATCTACTCTATTGTCCTAAGAAATTTTTTAAAGTCTATATTATCATATACTATGACAACTGCTCTACTCGTATCATACCTATCTTCCTAGAATTATTATAAGGATCAAATAAAATATAATTGGAAAAGCAGTTTTAGAACTGTAAGTGCCAAATGTAAATTGTCCTCACTGTTATTAAAATTATCACCATTTCTTAAAATCTACCAAGTTTTCACTATTTGTGTGTTCCTCAAGTTTAAGTTTCAGTGAAATGAATCAATTTCTCTCAAAATAGCATTAGAGTAGGGTTATAATACAGTAGAGTTACAATATTTTTTGTTACATATATTTTTTTCCTACATTTTATTTAGATAATTTATCCAAACTCCTACTGAAAAACAACTGAATACGTACTCTTTTGCAAGGCTGTAAAATACTCCATTATGTTCTAAAATAAAGAAACAGGAGCCACAAAACTAGAACATCTAGTGTGTATGCCCACAACACACACACCATGACCAATAAATTTTTTCTTCATTTTCATTTATCTACCACTATAGAAAACATTACCTGTTTTGTGGACCATCACCAACTAAATATTCGACAATTCTATCCAGAGCACCTCGTTCTCGGGGGAGAATGGGTCTTGCTAAAGGTGGACCCGGAGGATGAAGACCTAGTAAATAAATAGATATAAAATATGTATGTATAAAATTCATTTAAATTTTAATTCAGTACCAAAAACTACCTATGCTTGTCAGAACTTTTAAAAGATTTTAACAAATATAATATTCTTATAAATCTCTGTAAAGCATTCAAATTTTCCTTAAAAATACTGCACTACAAAAAATATGTTTAAATATGTTTAAATTTCATTTCTTAATAGATTATACCAACATAATCTATGAAGAATTGAACTGTGTTGGGTTCTGTTCAAAATAATTTTTAAAATGCCCAGAATCTTAAAAGCTTATATAATAATAAATTAGGAACTTCCACTTTGAATCATAATAGAGTCAAAGGGATCATATTTACCTTCCCACGTAAAACAACTAAAATGTGCAAAACATATGATGCAACAATTTTAAAGAAATGGGATATCAGGCAATTTAGGATAAAGATCCCTAACAAACAAAAAAGCAAATAAGATGAGACCTACAATTGCCCCAGTCTGTTGCCTAGAGTGTGTTTCCAGGAAGCAATTCAGGGAGGGTAAACCCAGATAAAGTGAATCAGCCTCTCTGAGATGAAGAAATAAAAGCTGCAACTCTAGGGGAGCCAAAGCAGCTTGAGTTCACAGGAAAGAGTAGGAGAGAATGAACAGAGCAAGAATATCAAAAATCTGCAGAGGATTCCCAAGACTATTTAGCAGAGCACTGACTGATGCGTGCATGTGAGGAGACTACATGAGGACAGAGAAAGAACTACCCCCAAAATATTAAAGGTAAAGTGCACACACATGGGGCTAGAAATGTTGCATGTTTGCACCAGCCAGAGTAGAAAACTTCATAACTCCCACTCATTGGGTTAAGTATTCACAGGAGTTCTGTCTAAAAATATAAATATATCCAGCATCCAACAAGGTAAAACTCAAGTCTGGCATCAGATCAAAAATTATTAAACATCCAAATAAGCAGGAAAATATAACCCATAATGAGAAAAATCAAACCTAAGTGACCCAGAAATGACAGAGATAATAGAATTAGTAGACAAATATATGAAAACACTATGACTATATTCCATATGCTTGAGAATCTAGAGGAAAGATTCAATGTTAAGCAGAGACATGGAAAAAATTTAAAAGACCCAACTGAACAAATGAAAACTATAATGTCTACAATGAAAAATTCATAGATGGGATGAATAGCAAGCAGTTTGGACATTACAGAAAAAAAAATAGTAAACTTAAATAAAAGAAACCATATAAAATGAAACACAGAGAAAAGACTAAAAATATTTTTAAATAAAAAAATCATCAGCAAGCTGTGGAACCTCAAGCAGTCTAATATGCTTTGAATTGGAGTCCAGAAGAAGAGAAAGAAAAAAAATATTTGATGAAATAATGCACAAAAAATTTTCCAAATTTGATGAAAGCTATAAACCCACAGATCCAAAAATATCAAAAAACCTTAAGCCCAAGAAACATAATTTTGTAACAAGACATTACATGTTCAAATTGCTTAAAGAGTGATAGAGAAAAATCTTAAAAGCAATCAGAAAGATATATTATGTACAGAGAAAGAGATAAGAATGACAGCAGATTTCTCATCAGAAAATAAGCAAGCCAGAAGACAATGTACAATATGTTTGAAGTTCTTCTGAAAGAAAAACTAGAATTAGAATTCCATATTAGTGAAAACACCTTTTAAAAATAAAGGCAAAATTGAAGACGTTTCCAGACACAGTATAAATGAAAAGAATTTATCACTAGCAGAATTGCACTACAAGAAATGTTGAAAGAAGTCCTTCAAGCAGATTTCATTAAAATATCTTAAACTCCTTACACACTTAATAACTTTTAAAATCATACATCTTCATATTTACGCTATTAAGAATAATAGTAATTAATACAAACATCAAGAGCAATCATTATAGGAATACTGGTCATTTTTACACAGCTTGGCAAATTATCAAGTACCTGCTGGTTATTAATTTTCAAACATATGGGAGCCCTGTGGTAATACATATTAAATTGATTCTCTTCCATGAATATGGCATAATGAAAAAATGAATTATTAATCTTCTCTATAAGAAATCACTTAACTCATTCATAATTTTGGCAATATGTAACTTAAATACTAACAGGTTTTTACAAAGAAACTAATTTAAAACTTTAGTAAAATATGTTATATTTACATGATCACAAAATTTAGACCATTATTCCTTCTATAACCTTATTCTTACATGTCCAATAGTTTTTATTACTTTATATAAGTTGCTAAACTTTTATTTCTTTAAAACTAGTTAAATATACAAATGTATATAATACATGCATTCCCACTAAAAAAATTTATTTCATTACTTTACAGATAATCACGGGTATCTCAAATCAGTCAGATAATAACTGAAAGACAAATAATGTTTAATCAATTTAATTTTTCTCAATTTCACAACATATATGGCTACCTTAAAGGACAGCATTACATATCAAATTTTAAAGTATTTTTTCAATAACTATTTTTAAAATTATAATTGGTATACATTTCATTTGTAGCCAACTTTTAAAATTTGTTTATGAATTAATACTTTTCTAATTTTCTAAAATCTTGTGTTGCTTTTTTTAAAAGAGCGGGGAAAAAAATCTATTGTAATAGTAACATTTAGATTGCTTATTGATTTTATTACATAAGTGCCCTGAATACCTGATAACTACTGACTAGCATCAAAAGCATTATAAATTATGTTAGCAATTAGTCATAAAATACCAAAGTAATCTAAATTAGAATTAAATATCCTAAAATAAGATAATCATTGTATTCAAGAATCTGACATAGAAATCTACATAAAATAATGTGATCTGCTAAAACAATGAACTTCCACATCTTAATCACACCCTAAAAGAAAATTGCAGGGTAATGCAATCTATTGCGCTATAAAAATGGGATCTTCCCCTAGTGATCTACCACACTAAAAAAAGAGAATCCAAACAAATGAAATAGTAGTAAAGGCAGTATGTTAATTTAATAGAACTTTATGCTAATGTATCCGTCAATAAATACTAAAGTTCTTTGGGTTAAAACAAACAAACAAACAAACAAAAACAATTTCCTGGCCCATATGAACAACAGTAGTATTGTACACCACGATGAAGGAATATTCATCCTGAGATATGTTAAGTAATTGTCATGTTTAAAAATATATGTGAAGGGTTTAACAAAAAGCATGAATATATTCCAAAAGTGTTCTCGTCTATCTCCATTTTATATAAATCTGGAGCCATTCTAAAGCTGAATATAAAAAGATATGCTATACTGTTGACTACAGAAAACTACAAAGTTTTATTGCCATTTAAACAAAAAAGCTATAACAGTTAAATGAGCTCAAGAAATAGGTTTCAGTATCACAAGGTGCCAGCTGTAAAGAGTTATAGCTAATTGAATATGGAACTCCTGCTTAATCAGATAACTGCTCTGCTATTTCCAAATGAAATGCCATTTCCATACTGTCTGAAAATGGCCCGTTTTATTGGTAACCAGAGAAAACAATATAAACTGTAAATAACATTAAGTGCTCTGTTTACCCATTCCAGGCACTGAAGTACCAGGAGATCCAAGACGTCTTGGTAACATATTTGCTGATAGGGCTGGAGTAACAGCTCTTTCTGGGGGTCCACCAGGGGCTGAAGTGTCCTTTGGTGGTCCTGGAGATACTGGAACTTGTGGAGGAGGGCCCTGGCTAGAACTTGCTGGTGTTGGAGAAAGGTTTCTTTGCGCTGCAGTTCGCTGACGAATCTCTGAGAATAATAAAAAAAAGAATAAATTAAATTTAATATCCAATATACCACATTAGTGAATTCCACAAGTATTACTTACATTTTAATAAAGCTTTATGCCATGAGAAGGTATCTGTAAAACCAAAACTCCTTGTAATATGAAATCTATAAAATATAATATTGAAATCTGACTATAATAGAGTACTTTATTTCTGAACCTACAAGTCAACTGCATATATTTACACAACAAGCTGTGGACTCAGTCTATCTACTGATATAACTTTTCAAAATCAATGCAAAAAATATAAAATCATCACCAATTATGTGTCATTTTTTTTACAGTAATCCTTCCTAATTTATAATAAAGGAAAGAAATTTTATCAGAATGTGAAAATGCTAGTGAAAATTACAGATTTATTTTTCAAGATAAAAATAATAGTAACTCTAAGAAATAAGTGAATAAGTATATTCTGGAATTATCAAATAATTTATGACATAATTAATCTAAGAAGTCTGAAAAAGTATTAAAAGTATGAAAAGGAAAAGTGCTCATTCTCCTTTAAACTACTGCGATCTTTTTAATAAACTTTTTTTTGCCAGTACATTCAATAAAGGAAAATTTCCATTTGGCATAAATAATGTATCATCATAAATAAATCTTACCTCTATTTGCAGAAATTACAAGACCTTTTGTTTGCCAAATCCAGGCTACTGCCTCTTTTTGTAGTTTTATTGAAACACAATAATTCTCTTTTGTTTACATATTGTCTATGGCTTCTTTAAAAGAGTTGAGTAGGTGCCACAGAGACCATATGGCTCTCAAAGCTATTTACTGTATTTGCTATTTGGCCCTTTGCAGAAAGTTTCATGATCCCCTAACTCAATAACATAAAATTCAATTCTATCATTCCCCATTCCCACCAACACCTTACTTGAATGTCAATGGTAAGATCTAAAGAAGCACTTACAGCTTTTTAATTGTACATCCCATTAAATTATCACAAATCTTGAAAAAGAGTGCTGAAACTAAAGAAGTTAAATTTTAATTGGCATGATTGGTAAAAATGCACACCTCCAAAAGCAAAATACTTTAGATTCGGACTCTATTTGACAGTTAAAGATTTTCATGAAAAGTTCATTGCAATCAAAAGTACAGCTCTAGCATGAGATTTCAGTTTATACAATTTAGTCTACTAGTTAAGAACCTGGGCCCTGTGGTCAGAAAGGTTTGATTAGAATCTTGCCTGTTGCTACATTACCTAAGATGGGTTAACATCACTAAGCCTCTATTTCTTTGGCTGTAAAATTAAGACAATAATGTTCCTAACTCAAAGTTGTTATGAGGATTAAATAATATCTATAAATTGATAGTTCACATTTATTGAATAAATAATTTTTCAGATGACAGTGTTTTCATACAACTAAGTGTTGTTAAATAACCAGTTAGCTATAATTACTGGGACCAATAAATTTTCTATTGATTCTTAACGTAGTCTCTAACTTAGGCATTGCAATAATAAATTACAACCATGTCATCATTATATAAATGGAACTGTCTTTATGTTTGTCTATTTTCCATGAAGTTTATATAGAAAATTTCCAATTTTATCTGGACTAATTGTATTCTTATATCTCCTGCAAATGAGCAGATCCCTTAATGATCACAAAGAACTCACAAGGAACACCTTAAAGGTAGTTACACATTAGGAAAGCCATTAAATGCTACAAAAGGTACCAAGATCAATGAAATTATGTTAAGATTGGATCATTTAAATTAATTTAAAATAACAAGGCATCGAATATTGTAAATAATTTTTTTAGTCAATTTTCAGGTAAAACATAACTCAAAAAATGACATTTTCCAGACTCACAAATATAGACAATCTGGTGACGGCCAGAGGGGTTGTGGGGGGAGAGGTGGGGAAAAGTGGTGAAGGGTTAAAGAAGTACAAACTAGTAGTTGATAGATGATCACTGGAATAGGAAGCATGGCATAGGGAATGCAGTCAGCAGTAATGTAATGGCTATGTGTAGCCAGAGGGAAGATAAAGTAATCAGGGGGATCTCATAAACTATATATAAATGTCTAACCAATGTACTGTATACTTGAAGCTAATAATAAAGTAAAATAAAAAACTGCAAACAAAAAAATAAATAAATAACATTTTCTTCCAGATAAGTTTTTTCCTACATAAAAGAGTAACATAGTTGTTTATTATAGATAAATAAAAGTTTAACATTTATTAGACTATATTAAAAGTAGCTATTATCCTTTCACTTCTTGAACAAAGGCTTGAGACTGCTTCCTCTGAATGTGCATTTACCCTGTGAAAATTAACCAAAGCATTCTTTTAACATCTCTCCTAATGTGCTACTGAAAGGAGAAGCCTGTAACTAACTAGTAAGCAAAGAACACCATGTCTAGCATTCCATAAAAGAGACTTGGCTTAATAATTTCTAATTTTAAATTTAGGCAGACAAAGGGGAAAAAATGATATGGAAGAGTTAGGAAAAAGAAAAAAAGAGTTTCACCATTTCCAAAGGAAAAGCAAGTAACAAAGAGTTACAATATCAATAGTTAAAAATAGTGATACAGTCCCAATCTATATTTGGTAAAGTGTTATGAAATATTCTGGTAATCTCAATTTAAAATACCTAAAATTTCTCAACCATTAGCTAACAATTGCCATTCACAAATGCCTTATAATTTACTCTAAAAAGTTTCTAGTACTCATCAAAGCAGTCATACTGGTTATATTGAACTTTTCCTTCATTTAAATGTAAAACAACATCTCTCAAAAAAGATTTACCAAGCATGCCTATCAATCTGGTGAAGTATCATAAGGAGTGTTCCATAAAGTCAGTTCTTGACTGGAAGATGTTTTAACATCTTTATCAACACTCATTTTTTGATTAAAACTTTGATAAAAATCATGCTCACTGAATATGAGAACATGTCTATATTTTTAAACTCCAAATGAAGCAAACAAAATAAGATTTAAAACTACTATATTATGATAAACAAAAGGAAGAAACTTTTAAAATAAACTGTAAAATAAAGATAAAACAAGATAGTTGCTAAATCATAGTTTCTGAGATTAAACAGTCTTGATTTAAATTTTGCTCCACCCTTTTTATTAGATGTGCATGCAGCCTTTTCCAAGTTAATAACAATAATGAGAATTTTTACCTCTTATGCTTTTGTAAAGATTAAATGAGATCACCGATGCAAAGAACTGAGTCAGAGGACAAGGAAAAGTACTTAATAAGCAATAACTAGTATAAGTAGTATAAATCTAAAAGTTCCAGAGATTACAACAATCAAAAGCTAAGCAATCCAGAACTTCTGAATCAATTATTAAAATAAAATACAGATGTTAATTTACAAGTTAAATGTTTTCCTAAAGCTATTTGTAAACTTATTTAAATGTGTAACTTGACAATTTATATAAAAACTTAAATCTGTAACGCTAGCTTTCTATTAAAAAACTCTTGAGATGACCTATAATACAAATAATTCTCTTAATTTATCAGATTTTTAAATCCTCTTTCTCTACATACTGGTAGAAAGTTTTATCTTTGTTCTAGTCTTAAGCTGTAGTAGGAAGAACACCATACAACAGTTAGGAGACCTGGATTTTCATCTTAGCAGATACCACCTGTTCTTATGTGAACTAAAAAGTCTTTTATACACTCTGAGTTTCAAATTTATTTAAAGAGTATTAGCAGAACCACAAACACAATCCTCATATTTTTTCCTAGCACTGGTCAAAGGCTTTCTGAACTACTGTGTCCAGTTCTTAGCCTCGTAAGAAAAAATTTCAATAAATTTTAGTTATGAGAAAAAAATCTTTAAATCTGAACGACTCACATTTGCAGATATGGAGACTTAAACTTAGGGTGAATTTGGCTCTTTATAAGCATGATTACGAGATGTAATTAGGTGAGGTATGGGGATATATCTTCAGGAGTGTTCATATTTTTCAACTTATGTTCATTTGTATGTTTAAATTTATATCAATATAATTCCTTTAAATAACCAAAATAATAAAGACCATGCATCCAACATCTCTTACTTTCATAATTTTCTAAATTCTACATTCACTGTATCATCTTTTTCACAGTCTACTCATACTCAGCTCCTTTAAATACAGTTTCTGCCCTACTTCTCTACTAAAATTGTTTTCTCATTAGGTTGATGACTTTTTATTAACAAAAATGACTCTGTAACATTTTCCTTCCCATAGAGGCAAAGCTTTTTTAAAAGAGAAAAACTTCCCCAACATTTTACTCTTCAACACAACACAATCTGGTTCTTGTACTCTTGTTTTGGTTACATTACCATCATTATTATTAGCATAGCTGCTCTTTATCAAATCCCTATTAACTGCTAGGAAGTATACCAGGCATTTTATGTAAGTTTATTAGTTTCATCAATATTTAGACCAACTCTTTGAGATAACTCCTATCCTCAGTTTTCAAAAGAAGAAACCAAAGCTCAGAAGATTAGTAGCCAAAAAGTCTCACAGTAAATAAGAGATGGAGCCAGAATTCAAACCCCGGTTTTTATAACGCCTTCGCTTTGTTACACAACCTATCAGATGCAATGGTCTCATTTGTCTTCTACTTACTTGATGCCTTGTAGACTATGATAGTGGATGCCATCTCTACAACACTTCAACTTTTTTAGATGCCAGTTTAGTTCTGCTTTTAACTCTGATCATTCTGTCTTTTTCCTGGGCTCTTTTTTCTCCATCTACCCTTACATGTTAATGTTCCCTGGGATTCTGCAATAGGTACTCTTTATTTTCTCTCCCTGGGCAATTTCACTCAGTTCCATAGTTTCAATAACTGTTACCTATATTTCCCAATGATTCCTAATCTATATCTAACCGCTACCTTTTTCCTGAGCTCCATATGAAATGATCAAATGCCTATAAGCCGCACCACCTGGATGCAATTCCCACTCAACAGATCCCAGGGCAAATTCATTATCTTCTACATAAACATACTACTCCAAT